ATGCTACCTTATTGTTCTGTAAGCAGGAACATCTGCTGCAAGCATACTTAAATAATTGTATTAAGATATGGAAAACTCATTTCCACAGGAATCTCACTGTTACAAGTGAATTCCACTACTCAGAGGAATCTACTAAAACATTCCAATGTGATACAGACTATCTTTTTCAAAAAAACAAAATACAACTTTAATATGAGTAAAGCAAAGCTTTTTGCTGGTAAGTCAGAATCTCCTTCCGGAAGATAGCATTAAAACAAACAAAATTAGAAAACAAAGAATAATACACAGTCTAAATTCACTTTATTGTAAATACAGTTTAAGATCGTTTTGTAAAAGCAATCAAGCCAGTTGCTTAGGGAAGTTGTAGCACAAGATGTGTTTGTCTGTGTCTGTCAATCAGTTCATTCCATTTTATTTTTTGTACAGGCATGTAGCACTTCACATATAGTAAGAAATACACACACATATATAAACACAATATGACAAGCATCGTGTCTTTAAATAAGCTATTCCACCAATGACAACTTTTTAAACATGTTTGAGTTAGAGCTGCATGTAACAGGTTGCAAGAATAATCTTGAGGAAGAAGAGCCTCAGAAGGGTCAAATAAGAGAAATCTGAATCCAAAGCAGAAATACAATTTGAAAGAATGTCTTAGACATATCTTACTAATATTAAAAGGTTTAATTAAAGAGTAGCAAGATCTTGCTCCTGATCCCATATCAAAGATATGTTAGAACAATTAATCAGTGGAACAACTGGATACTATACTTAAAAAAAAATTAGTAGGAAGTTTTCGACACTTTATAAAATGGTAAGCAAAAAATCCATCTGAAAGTTTTTTTTTTCAAAACACCATTAGCTTCTTTGTTAAATAGTCATTAGTTTAATGAAAGAAAATTGCTATATAATAAAGTTCAATGTTTCTTACCAAGGAACATTTTCCAACACTTAAGTAAATAGGAAAACCTCTTTAATGTAATTTAATTTTCCTACAAAGTAATTCGCACTTATTAGATCTCAGCTTAATGAGGTTTTTAAATCATATTAGTTTTTTATTTATTCCTGAGAATTTTAAATAGCTTACTGCAATACATTAAAATGATTTAAAGAATGATGCAGATATAGCAATTATCGTCACTTGTAGTTACAGAAGTTAATAGAAATCAAATCAAATAATAATGAAAAATTGTGATAATGAAAATGAATGTAAATAAAGGTAGTCCTCGATTTATGACAATTCAGCCCAAAATTTCTGTTGCTTAGCAAGGTTGTTAGGTAAGTTTTGTCCCATTTTACCACCTTTCTTGGCAGAATTGTTGATTGAACCACTGCAATTATTCAGTTGGTAACACTTAGGGACTTAGGGTTAAGGAAATCTGGTTTTCCCATTGACTTTGCTTGTCAGAGGATCACAAAAGGTGATCACATGAACCCGGGACATTGCAAACGTCATAGGTATGAGTTGCCAAGCACCTAATTTTGATCACATGACTAGTGGGATATTGCAATGGTTGTGTAAAAAACAGGCATAAGTCACTTTTTTTCAGTGCCTTTGTAACTTTGAAAGGTCACTAAATGAATGGTTGTAAGTCGAGGACTACCCATAAATAAATCAGTAATGGTAGAGGGATGAATATTAGACATTTGATTATGTCATAAATACTAAACCACAATGGATTAGTTAACTATGCTAAATAAAAACTAATAAACCCAAATCATGTATTGACACCATATGTGAAACACACTATAGCATTGTGATGGAAACAAAATGAAAACATAGTCCCATACATGTATACTTAGATGTGATGCAAATCTAGAATTGTTTGCAATCTAAGACTTTTACTTTAATTTCAGTTAAACCAGTATGAATGTTTACCCAAGAATTAAGTTCTGCTGATTTCCAAAGGTTTATACCACAAGTAATTTAATATAAAACTTGTACATTTGAGACATATTCAGAACTTTATTAAATTTCTAATCTTAGTGACTCTGGGCAATTTATCACAGCATAATAAAACCATACAAATACTTGGATAAAAGCATAGCTCAGAATTTACAATTATCATTATAAAAAATAGAAGAAATTGTAGAAGATATGTACCATTCAGATTTTTTTTCATAACTGAACTATGTAAAACATACATACATAAACTATGTAGAATGAGTCCAGTCCAGAAAAATACTTAATTTAAAATAAGTGTGGATTAGATTTAAATTTAGATTCATGCAGAAAGGGGCAAATAGAATTAAAATGGTTATTACGGTTAGTCTCCAAAATTACTGTGAAAGCTTTTTCCATGGCAACTATAAGGCACAGTGAATGGAAAGATCAACTTCCACTATCCTATTGAGTGGATCAGAATCTAGATCGATTTATATCTACTTTAAAATGTGTGCATCTAGGGCGAGAACTGTGGGTAGAACTCTGTATGAGGCTTGCAGAATAATATTGTTCTTCTAACTTTAGCCTTTTCAAAATTTCTGAGAAATGTAGGGAACCCTAGGTGTATGGGAGAAAGAAACCAAGAAAATGGATTCCACCAAGAGAAGTGCACTATTTGGAATCTATCAATGCATAGAGCAACTTTTTTTATTACTTAAGTAATAATTGTAACTTTAAATTGTTAATTTACCATTTCTACAAGATAACAAAATATTGATCTCTCCACCTCTACTGCAGGAGTCATTGTTACAAATGTCTTATTTTAATATTAATTGAACTCATTCTAATTAGCCTTTATCATTTTAATAAGTGTTGATGGCTTCTGAAATAAAACAAAATCAGGATTGGGATAGTGGAAACCTAGCTTAATAAAAAGATCATGGAAACAACTGATTGCAAACCAATTATCAGCCAACAATATAATACAGAAAGCTAACACCATCTTAGCCAACATCAACACAATTTCCAAATTATGAAAAGAAATAATTACACTACATCTTGCTTTGCTTAGTCTTCGTCTTCAATATTTTAATTCTGGGCATTTATACTCTTGAATATACTCTATATTTAAAGAAAGGCAACAAAGATTACCTGGTGACTAGAAATTAAACCTATGGAAAAAAATATTGAAGGACCTGAGCATGTTTGGAATTGAGAAAAGATTTAGCAACATTCAACAAATGCTTGAGAGGTTGTCTACAGAAGGTCGAAACTTGTTCTTTCTCAGTCCAGAAATCATGACTTTAAGTTTCCAAGAAGTCAGAACTGAATGTCAGAAAAAAAAAATCTAACAGTAACAGCTATTTGACAGTGGAATCAATTATAAAAATGAGGGGTGGACTTTCCTTTACAGGATATTTTCAAGCAGAAGCTAGCCTGTCACATATATGTTAAATTGGTTTGATACAATGAAGAGGGGTTGGACTTAATAATGGCCTAGATGGCCTCTTCCAGCTCTATGATGCATTCAATAGGTGTTAGATGCTAGTTGTGATATGAACTGCATTAATTTACAATAGTCTGAAACTTCTGCCCATTTCAACAGTTATGTTAGTAGAAAGTACTGGATACATGTTTATAATTTTCAAATAAACCATATTAACTTTACTATACTGTCTTGATAATACAATATGTGAAATTTGTATCAAATATTTTTATTAATTCCTCTTGGCAATAAGGCAAGGAGAATAATATTTCAAATGTTACACATTCCTAGTTCCTAGGAATTTCAAACTATAACCTCTACTGTTTCTAGTTAACCATACAGTATAAAGTGTAATAGAATCATTGTCCACAATATCTAGAACAGTTCACATTTGAAAAAGCTGTTATGCAGAACAGCTGGTACACATTTTATTGCACACACAGGAAATGAAATCAGGTTAAAACATCAAAAGTTTTCAAAGATTCTCAAAAAATCTATCACAGCAAAACTGAGCGTTCTTTAAAAAGTATTCAGGATGCTGCAAGGTTCAATTTTTGCTATTAAAGCTAACAATGGATATTTTAATATTTATCAATAGTGCTTACTATTTTTTATATCACTAGTAGGAAAACTCCATGAAAGCATTTTTTATTTGGTAGGCTGAAATATGGAATATATATATACTGGGAAGTATGCATCATAGAATAAAGTAGACTTTACTTAAAGGTAAACTTAGATAGTCAAGATTTACATATAATGCTAAGTTAAAGTAATATTTGTTTATTCTTGGCTTAGAATGAAAATTGAATTCCCCCTAAAAAAAATCTAAGGTTTTTTTTGTTATCAATCCAGAATTTGAAACCAAGGATGGTCTGTTGATGGTTTGCAAATCCTGGCTTATTTCAATTGTGGTTTAGTTAGATCTGAATCCTTGCTTATTCCTGGCTTATATTTGTGATCCTTGGGTAGTAGCATAAGTAGAAAAAACCAGAAGTTGTGAAAAAAGCCATTATTAATTTGTTCATCCCCAAGTGTTTTGATTTTCAAATCATTTAAACATTTTTTTTGCAAACAACCAGAATATAGGGCTATTTTCTTGTATCTATCTCTTCTTTTGCTTCTTCATTATCTTCTTCTTTCATCTGCCTTCACTCCCTTAGTGTAGATGAAGGACATTCTGACTTACTTCAACAATACTAGATTTTAGGTTACAAATTGATTAATCTGATTCTATCTTTTATGTTTTAATTTGAAAAAGATAGTCAAAAACCTAAAATTGGAACAGGAATGGATAATGTGTGACTGCAAAAGATCTCTCTGGAAATCTCTTAATCATGTACAGCCCAAGAGCAACCCTTTTGCAGTCTACCACTGTAACAGGTTTGTCCCACTTCACCACTTAGCCTCCAATTCTCTCCCCCCCCCCCCAAAAAAAACCCAAAATATTGATCCTGTCCTATGATGACATAATTGGCTATGATCAATAATGTGAAGCATTCAAATGAAAAAATAAAATTTAAGGAGTCCATCCATCCCCATTAAAAGAAATTTACCTACCCCTACTCCAAAATATGAGATGCCAATTACAATTTTTTTTGGTAAAATCAACAATGTGTTAAAAGCACACACCTGTTGCCATGTGGCTTTCTGCAAAACCCACACTGCTTACTAGGTATCCAGAAAGTTTTGCTTTCACTGGGAGACAGGAGTTCTGTGCTCTCTCGTTTTACAGTAGAAATATTATCTGGGATAAACAGAGGTGGTTCATCAACTGAAAGACTTTTACTGCTTCTTCTCTGTCGAGGCTGAAGGTTCTTTTCTAACTTTCTAACTTTCATTTTCTCCTTTTCATCATCTTTTAAATAATCCACAAGTAATGCCACGGAATCTTTTTTCCCGCTTTCTTCCTTAATGCAATTATTTGTTTTAAGGTGATATTTCTGTGGCTGCTTCTGACTCTGTTGTGGTAACTGCCCTTGTTTAGAGCTAGTTGTTCCCAACACTAAATGTAAACCTTCTTTAGAACCAGCATGATGGCTGACAGATCTGTCATTCATTCTTTCTGTCATTATCTTCCGTACTTGAACTGGTATTTGACCCCGGGGAATATTTTTCCCAACCTCATGGATTTGCTTCTTTAGAGGTATTCCAGAGTCACAGCTCTGAAATCTTGTATCTTTATCTGAATGTTGTTTCTTAACTTTAATTATTTTCTGACAATGCTGAATGTTTCCTTGCTCCTCTATGTGACGTTTCAGACTTACTGAAGACTGACCACGAGGACTTGGAAGAACATGAATTTTACTGTGTGTGTCCTGGCCTACAATAGTCAATTTCTGTTGTGTGACTATAGTTTTATTTTGTTTAGTCTTGGTATTTTTGGACTTTGTCTTTTTTAGATATTTTAATGGAACACCAGATTGCCCATCTTCCGGCAATCCTGAACTCTCAAGCTCTCCCATTTTTACACTTTCAGGCTCTTGATCTACTGGTTGGGTTGGAATATCTTGAATAATGTTATCTTCCAAAGTATTTGCTTCTAATTTGATAGAATTTGTACCATCATCTTTTAAATTAGTCTGTTCAAATTCCATGCTATTTAGAGGAAGACTGTCTTTCAAATCAGCCTTTACTAGGTTATCTGAACATTCTTGCTTTTCTTCTTTTTGCAAATTAGCATTATGAGCAATATCACCACTAGCCTTTAAACCTAAATTGCATTCAGCCTTTCTGACCACAAAATTAGACTGAACTATAAGGTCTTCCTGAATTTTACTTGAATTTTCACAAGTTTTGGAAACAAGCAGAGTATCACTCGTCCCAGTTTCCTTGTTTTGATCTTCTATTTCAGTTCTGTTCTGTTCTTTTTCAGTCTTATGGTTTGCCTTTTCTGATGAAGATATTTCAGGTATATATTTCATTACTTCATCACCTTCCTCTTTAAGGCTATTGCTATCTGTAACTTTACCCGCCTCCACAAAAGCAGATGATGTTGACTCTGTTCCAATGGTAGCATCATTATGTTCTGTAACAGCCTGTGCTCCATTTTCCACTTCTTTACATAAGGTAATAGAATCTGGCAAGTTAGAAGAGTTTCCTGTTTCATGACATACTTTGACTTTTGGCTCAGTGGGAATTTCATGCTCATTATCTGCTTCAGTGCTTTCTGATTCTGCACAAGATGGAACCCATTCTGAATTGCCTGAAGATGATGGTGGGATTTCTTTTGTTTCTTCTAACTGGGAACTGTCATTACTTGGCTCAGTCTTTTTTAATTGTTCTGGTGCATTATTGTTATTAGTATCCTGTTTAGCCTGTCCTTTATCGTGTTGTTTCAGTCCTCCCTTCTGAGCTGGTCCAGACTTTACAGTTTTCTTCGTGGGAACAGAAGATGAAGAATTTGAACGTTTAGCTAGTGTGCTCTGCCGCAGACTTCGTATTGGCTCTATTAAAAAAAGTTATATTAGTGTTATTTATACCAATAAAGACACAACATACACTAAAACAGGTTGATTTATATGTAATTTAACACAATAAACACAAAAGATAGTAAGCTTATCCTCAATATCTATTCAGGTCAAGTGGATTATGAATTGTTCTGTTCATCAAAATATAAGCACATTATTGCAAGCAAACACTAAATTATGTTCTTTAAGTGGTTTGATCATGGAAACAGGAACTCTACAAAATGCATTTAAAAAACTACCTTGGTTCATTAAACGTGGAGACTTTCTTGGCGATTTGGTTGAAGTTCCATCCATTTGGTCCCTCAATTTCCTGTTGGATGACAGATCACCTTCATCAATGGTACTGTGAGGAGTTTCCTTAACTCTGTCATCCATAATATCATCAAGTCCAACAGCTAAAAAAAATGAAAAAAAATCCTAAATCTTAAAAAGATTTTTATTAAGCCTACAATGTCATGAAAGATGTGAAACATAAAGAAAGCAATGGCAATGGGAAAGGGGTAGGATGGGGAGGGGAGAAGAAAGAGATAAATAAGATTAAATGCATGTGTAGAAAATGAGATGTACAAGTTTCCCACAAGGCAGATAAAACAAGTGGTCATCCAGAGCAGTATTATTTCTCAAACATGGTCCTTGAGAAAGAGTCATAGCCATTTTTAGTGGACTCACATTTTATTGATTTGCCACAGGAAGTTCTCAGTCCTTAAAGGATCAGCTGTCCCCTCACTGTCCCTTCCCACCTAAGAGAAAGAGAATTTAATAATGGAAAGAGCTGATCCAAAAGTGACAATTTCTTTTATCTATATAATTTTAATAGTTTATTTGTAGATGCTAAATATAGAACATGATAGTCTGGCAACTATTAATAAGTGTTTCACCTGCTAAAAATCTAGCCAAAATCTAAAGGCTACAGTATAAAGTTTGTAATTTTATGTACATCTCATTAAATGTAATGAGATTTTCATGCAAACATACTTCTTAGAATTTGTTACTGTATATTAAAATAGTGTATGCAGGTATGTATGAATCTATATATTTACTTATTTTACAAAATGTTGCACAACACATTCAATAAATGAAAACCTACTAGAAATGTCTATGTTCAGAAAACAGGAATTATTATATTGATTTTCCATTACAAAACTCAGTTTCCTTTTATTCAGTGTCTGATAATGGGTGTTGATTCAATTTAGAGATTTACTGTCTCTGTCACTGATACAAAAATTATTTAATACTAGCCAAGAAGAATTTAAAATTTACATTATTATTAAATATATATAATAAATATTAGCCAAAAAAAAAGAGTATTTTCTTCCAAGGCTGTGCAATGACTATGAAAAAGGGTGACTCGATGTACACAGGAGTGGAGATGAAGCTCACGTTATTAAAAGATGCTGACATGGTTGCTTTGTAAGTTATTCCTGGCAAAGAGGCTGTGCATATATTTCTTTCTAAGAACTTGCATAGCCTTACTCATGGCAGGTTGTCCAGGATCTGTTTTAGGATTTCTAATAAAAGTAGCTTGCTCTTCTTATTAGTTACAATTAGTTACTTCTATTGCCACTTAAAAATCTTAGTTAATGATAGGCCAAAATGTAGCTTTTCATAGTAATCTCATTAAAATTCAATTACCATAATTATCATAGCCAAGGATTGTTTCATTGGCAATATAAGGACTCCCTCCATCTTTTTATGAAAAGCAATAATGAGAAATTAAAATATAACATGATCCTAAATTTAACCCTAATGCACCCCATTCCAAACTTCCACCTAGTCTGATGAAAAGACACTAGTGAGCACCTATCATTGATTTCCTAACAATTACAAATCTATCTAACATTATACAATATGAATTTCAAGGGAAATTAGAGAAATTTACAAAAAGCAATTAGAATCATAAATAAGATACAATATGATTAAAAAGCAAACAACAAAACAATAAAATAGTTTAACAAGAGTAAATTACAATTTGTTTTATAAATTGTTTTGATATTTTTAAGTCAAGTAATTGCTAAGGCCCTGCTAAGGAACATATCTTCAGATTTGGATTGATTTATATGTTGTCTCCATTACCAAAGTAGCTCTAAGTGAAAACAATAATAAAAGCAATAGAAATCATACATAACGCTACATCACTATACATCAGAGAGGACATCCAACAAAACGGATTAAACATCAGGATAGACCACCAAAGAACTGTTACACTGCAAATCATGTTGAAACTTTATAAATGCCCAACGGTGTCAGAACCATCCATCTCAGGAAGAGCACTGTTCCATAAGGCAGACATAACTACAAAGGAGACCTCCTAGGTTTCATAAGGTGACAATGCCTTAAAGCTAGGACAGTGATGGCTAACCTTTTCGTTGTCGCGTGCCAAAAGTGCACACGTGCTCCCTGCGCACATAACCCCCTGCACGCCTCTGTGCACATCTCCCAGATGTGCCCCGCCCCCACACATGCTTGGCAGATATCCGACAACCAACTGGCTGGCAGGAGGCACATGCTCATGCACAGTGGATCTGATCTGGGGTGATGGCTCACATGCCAGCAGAGATGGCTCTGAGTGCCACTTCCAGCACGCGTGCCATAGATTCGCCATCACGGAGCTAGGACATAAGAGTGCACTAACTGCATCTGAACTTTTCAGTTGGACAGAAAAGATAGGAGTAAGAAAGTCCTGAAGATAAACCAATGTAAGGCTTTATGTTAGATTGTACTTGAAATATTTCTGATAACCAGTACAATTTATGGATCAGAGATGTTAAATGGTAAAATGAGGGACCTCCTTAACTGCTTGCGCAGCCATGTTCTGGAGTAACTGTAGCTTCCAGATGGTCTTCAAAGGTAACTATCTTGACTTCACTACAATAGCTGAAGTAGGAGATAACTAGAATATCAGTGATGTGAGACCATCCTGATCCATGGTTGGTGCACAGGATATATTTGTGCAAGGGCCCTCATGGCAATAGCGGTCACTGCTTTCTAAGCAGGAATCAAATGTTCAAAGGATGTGACATATAGTCCAGCTTCCTTTATTGTCCAACAGAAAGATGTTGTTTTCATATACAAAGTTTTACATGACTTCCCCCCACACCCCACTGAAGTTCATGGGATTTACTCCTGGTAGAAGTTTTGAATCCCACACTAAGATCTGCAACTATATAAATCTGAAATCTCAAATAGGATGAAATTGGTCATATATGGCCAATATAAGTAAAAACTGACAAGCCACTTTTGAAAAATATTGCCAAGAAAATTGCGGGAACTAGCCCATTCAGTCACCAGAAGTCAAAAACTGAATTGAAGACATGCATACATATTAAAACACACATCGAAAAAAGAATTAAAATAAATACTGTAGCTAGTTATTTCCCTGGGATAAATACTTCTAGACAATTAACTTCCAAAGCCCAATGTTTAACCTTTTCAGTATCATATAAATATATGTGCATTACTAAAATTCTGAGTAAATATAATATATATTTTATATAGTTATAACAGAGTGAATTTGACACTCCTGATTTCTCACCATAGGCCATTCTATTCAGAATGCATTGCCAATAACACTAGCTGTCATTTATTATTGTATACATTTTAATGCTTCTTAAAATAGAAATGATTTAAAATGGAAACAATGCAATCAATCTTCCAAAAAGCAGACATCATTTAAGCCATTTCAGCTTCAATTAGTTATATTAAAACTTCATATATATTTATTATGCCACAAAGAAGAAACAACAAAATGATTAAGGCAGCAAAGCAAAATAGAAATTAAGTAGGCACCAACTGTATTCAAAAAAGACTATAAATTTCTGCATATGTAAATAATAAATCTAAATTAAAGTTGTAGTAGAGATAAAAGAATTGGATCTATTGACCTTGCTAAGGAAAACCCTCGATTTGCTTTCTCCATTCCTGGATTTTTTCCATTCTAGTCTGCTAATTATAAATATGATATAACTTAGAAATTGCCTGCCATTGCCTTCCTTGCCTCTGAATTTTATTGTTTAAGGCAAATTTTATTGTTAAGACAAAAAAAAAGTGTTGCATAATGGTTCAAGTGCTGGATTGGAACCAGGAAGATCTACATTCTATCCATTCTCCCAGGAAAATTCACTGATGATTTTAGGCCAGACATTCTCTTTCAAGTCAATCTGTCCCACAGATTTGTTGTTGTAAAATAAAAAATAATGCGGTAATGCTATGAATGTTGCCTTAAGCTCCTAAATGAAAAGGTAGGCCGTTAATTGAATCAATAACACCCTGCTTTTATTGATCTTGTATTAGCCACTTTGGAAGCATTTTAGGATGAAAGAGTGTAAACATTCTATTTGATGTGTATTTATATTATTTGATGTGTATTCATATTATACGCATGAATATGTAATGCAACAAAACAAACACATAACAATTTTGAAATAGTCAAATGAAGGGAAAGCACTAAATGATGAAAAACTATAAAAATGTATGATTTTTACTTATCTAAAAACTAGCTGCAGAAAAGGGAACTTAGGTATGACTCACAATCAATTTTATACAGATTCTAAATGAGCTTATTAGTATTATTCTTATGAGCAAATGAACAAACAGCAAAATAGAATTGCTGATAAATTACTTGGTAATAGCTTACTTATTGCCATAGTCCAGAAACTAAACACAATGATATTTCAAGTGAAAAGACAGAAGTATTATGAAGTGAAAGCTAATATTCAGTTAAAATTCATTCAATAAATTCTTATTTTAAATCACTGCAATATAAAAAGCTCAAACCACATCATTTAAAATAACTTAAATGTTATTCAAATAAAGAAAACTTGGAAAAGCAAAAAAAACCTATCAAATTAAATGCAAACAATTAAGGTAAGCCAGGAAGAACTAGATAGGGCCAAAAACCCTTTTGATCTTTATCTAATTTGCATTAATTTATTCCCTCAGACTGATTCACTTCCAATCCTCTTGATACTGATTTTTCAAATGATATCTGCAGAGTATCTTGGAGATACTTGGGTAGTCAGTGTTAATACTGTGTTAAATAAACCAATGGTCTGATCTAACATAAGACAGCTTTTTTCCATACAGTAGGCATATCCGTCACATTTAATAAAACTTCTCAACATCTTTATCTAAAAAATAAATCCCACACCTATTATAATTTCTTTTGGAAAGTCTCCTTAGTTTCAAAATAATTCTGAAATGCAATATAAGATATTGCTCTTTAAGGAAAATATTTCAATGGGCATAGTTATACTACCAGGAGCTGAGAGGAAAGGTTAAGAAAGGAATGGGGAACAACTTAACAGATGAGAAAAATTATTTCTCCCTCAAAGCAAATACAGAAGAGTCAGTGGACGAATTCTTTCACATCCCAATACAGCATGCCTTAAGGGTTGCAGTGGCTCAGTGACTAAGACACTGAGCTTGTCGATCAAAAAGGTCGGCAGTTCGGCGCTTCAATTCCCTAGCACTGCATAACAGAGTTAGCTCCCGTTACTTGTTCCAGCTTCTGCCAACCTAGCAGTTCAAAAGCATGTAGAAATGTAAGTAGAAAAATAGGGACCATTTTGGTGTGAAGGTTCCATGCGCCTTCGGCATTTAGTCATGCCAGCCACATGACCATGGAGTCATCTTCAGATAGCGCTGGCTCTTCAGCTTTGTAACACTGCCCCCTAGAGCTGGAAACAACTAGCAAGTATGTGTGAGAGGAATCTTTACCTTTACCTTATAGCTTGTATTATTATGCTTCCTCATGAGCCATTAATGAAGCAAATATCTAAAGTCCTGATGTATACATATACATAAATACACACACAATTATTTTGGATGGGATATTGTATTCTATACAATTATATAATTATATATTATACTGTCTTCTATACCAGCGGTCAACAACCGGTGAGCCGCGGCCCACTGGTGGACCATTAGAAAATTTTGGTGGGCCACAGAGAAATCTCACCCCCAGAGCACCCCCCCCAAAGCAATTAATCCAGACTGTGCAGAAACACAAGGATGCGCTGCCCACATGGCCCGCAGGAACCCTCCCTGCCCACTCACTCCTTAACTAGCACACTTGCCTGCTAAATTGCTATTTTTCCTATTTCTGACCATCATCTGTTCTGCTGTGTCGGGAGATTTAGATTAGCTAGGAAGCAAGAAATGGTTGGATTTCTTGCTTTCTAGCTAGTCTTTAGATCTTCGGCTCTGCTTTTAAGCACAGCCGAACCTCCCAGGCATGATATTCCCCTCTGAAAAAAAAATCGGGGCCGGCCAAAAGAGACCCCCCACCGCGCGCCAAGAAATCGCCCGCCCGCCGCTTGCACCGCCCGCCGCTCGCCTGCTGCTCGTGCCGCCCGCCCGCCCGCCGCTCACACCGCCCACCCGCCGCTCGCCCCGCCCACCCGCCCGCCGCTCCCCCCGCCCGCCCGGGCTCCGCTCGCACCGCCCAGGCGATTCCCAAAAAAATCGGAATTCCGATTTTAATCGGAAAAATATTGTGTCTGACCTCCCTTAGGACTGAAGGTTCTATTATTCAGTGCAGACTCACAGCAAGCAAATTTGAGAGACTGAGCTAGCCTATGGCAGATAGATAGATAGATCACTGAATGATTCTGTGAACAACTCAATCTGCCTGCCTGCTTTGCCTGATTTTGGGTAAAAATTGCTCTTTATTTTATAAAAAATTCAATATTAACATACATGGTGTGTTGTGAGTTAATTTTGTGAGTTTGCTTGCAAGCAAATTTTATGTGACAGACTGAGCTATCCGATGGCAGATAGATAAATCTCTGAATGAATCTGTGATTCTGTGAGCAACTCAATCTGCCTGCCTGCTTTGCCTGATTTTGGGTAAAAGTTGCTCTTTTTTTATAAAAAATTCAATATTTATATAAATATTTATAATATTTACATACAAGCCATGCCCAGCCAGTCACATGACCACCAAGCTACACCCACAAATTAGGCCACACCCACAGAACCAGTCAGTGGTCCCTGGGATTTAAAATTATGAGTTTGGTGGTCCCTGAGATCCAAAATGTTGGCAACCCCTGTTCTATACAATTGTTACAATTATATTTTGTTTTTTATTATTTATTATAAAATAGTAATTTAAGGGAAAGCCTTACTAATTCTGTGAATAATGCTAGGTTTTCAATGATTACTGCTATGCTCGTAAGACTTAACAGTGTTCAGAGACTTACTAAGTTTGGGACCTTGAGTAAAGTTGGTATTTATTTCTTTAATGTAAGATGCAATTTTTTAATATATTTCTCTTCAATTTCAAAATGATGTATGTTGTAAGGAAATGGCCACTCCTGTTTGAGAATTCAGATCTTAGGAACACATAGCTGGTTGGAAGAATCACTGAATCATGAGCAACTTTCTCGTATCCTGTTCATTCAGTTTGAATAACAGAATCTAAAATACAGTTAAGAAATACTTGTTTTAACAAAATGGAGGCATCTATGCTGTTGCAATTCCAAAAATTTAGACATTTTTGTTTCAACATAATAGTTCATAGCTAATTATATGTAACATATATGGTGCATGCTTTAAGCATCTACATTCACTTCCCCCTCAAGAGTTTCAAAATTCAACAGAAAAATTAGAACTTTAGCCGAAGGCACGCCAGACACCTATTCTCATCTGAAGCACTCAAAAATTTAAGTCACTGCCAGTCTATTCTTGATGATCAACCAGTTCAACATCCAAGTCTTTATTACAAATTTTTTACAAAATTGCCATTGTTAATGAAAAAAATATATAATGTAGCTATTATTTTCCAAGATTATTCTAAAAGTTCTATGGTTTCAGTATAATTTATTTTTAAGAAGATTTTACCACAACTTATGTACTGTTACATTAACTTAATACTGAGTGTACTATTACATCTCAGTGGTCAATGTAGATAACTGAGACTAAAATAATTATCAATGTTAGCTATTCAACGTTGCGTTCATCAGAGAATTCAAAATCTAGATCTTGCTATTTTCAAGAAAGTGATAATTAAAATCTATCCTAGATATAGGATAACAATTTTTCTAGATTCAATTACCCCAATCCTACAAAATTTTATTCAGAGATAAATATAATAATGTTCAAAGAAGACCCTTCCTAGATATGTTATACATGGGTGGCATTCTTAACTATTAGCAAAGTGAAGTAATTAACTGTATTACTATAGATAAAGATTGGTTTAAGCTTCTCTTTAGAACAAGTCTATCACATCTTCAAAATCATTTCTTTCATTGGCTTAAGATACAAATGGATGTTTGTACTCTTTCATAACCAACCTCTTCTACATTTCAAATTATATGTATAATGGAATTATTATTTTTACTATTTTTTCAAGAAACAAAAAGGGACTAAGATTTGACAAGCCATAGCAATGACATGGGATGAAGCACACACAATAGCTAGAAAGACAGAGGGGAAGTGATACAGAATGTTTAAGAGTTGTGACATATGCCAATTTAAATTGCTTATACAATCTAAGGATCAATATTGAAACTCAAGCATGACCATATATCAAATCAATGTCCTATTAACTTCTTACTCAATATGACTATTTTATATTGATAGCTATTCAGTAAAAAACACACTCTAAAAAACACACTCCGATTAAGAGGATCACTTTATAGCAAAGGTCTAAAGGTCATCTTAAAAAACCTTCTGTGCTAAGATGCAACAATTAAATTCTCTTTAAAAAGTATTCCAAAGTTACAACCTATTCTGCAGCACTACAACCTATTAGGTCTATGGTTTTTACAACTGATCAAACTCTTATTCTGCATTGCTTTTGATGCTCCCACTCCACAAATATCTCTGATATTTATTCTATCTCTGATAGAATGTAGATCTATCTAGACACAGATTTGTGAAGGGTCGAAGGAAACTTCAATTGTAGAAGTGAAAGTTTGCTTATATTATATAGACTTTTCTTGACTTTTTAAAGAAGATTCCACAGATTCCTTAGTTATATTAGAATATATTATTCTGAGTCCTGGTGGTGCAGTGGTTAGAATGCAGTATTGCAGGCTAATTCTGCTGACTGCCAATTGCCGGCAGTTCAAGTCTCACTGGCTCAAGGTTAACTCAACCTTCCATCTTTCCGAGGTCGGTAAAATGAGAACCCAGATTGTTGGCGGCAATATGCTGACTGTAAACTGCTTAGAGAGGGCTGTAAAGCAGTAAAAAAGTCTGAATGCTATTGTTATTAGAATATATTTTAAAGTGAAGAGTATAGGCACACCATAGAAAAAATAATCTGTAGCAACATGCCTCTTCATTATTCTTTTTAAAGATTTTTAAAATAGAATTTTCAAGTGAATTCAGGGACAACGGGCAATTTAATATTTTGCTCTATGCTATAAAGCAGAGCAGAAAGAAAAATGTATTTTCAAACCAAAAAAGGGGAGAACACTACAACACTGCTCTATTTAAAAGTGTAGACTTGAAAATATTAAGAGTTACCTGTAGAACAAGGCATCTGGAAATTGGGATCAGTGCTATCCAAAACAGGCAAACAGAACTGAGCACTTGCAGATCCTAGCATAGGGTCCTTATCACTGAGCATGTTCTTCAGCGAATCCTCTAAGACATTTTGACTTGTACTAAAATCCTCACAGACTTCATTCTCCAGGTTGGATCCTAGAAATAGGGCATCATCTAAGTGTTCAGTAGGAATTAAATGATTAAATGTATCAACTATATCCATGAAGGCTCCTGTGTGTCTTTAATCCCTATAGAAAGACAAGAAAAATACCATAAGAAAAATAAACTATGGATTAGAAATTATCTAGAAATATCAAATTTGATGTGGCTTATCACTGTCTTATATAACTCACTGTAAATTGTTTCTATTTGAAAAATTAAATTAAAATTTTAAAAAATTCAACAAGAAATTTATTAATTTTTTGTAGATTTGATGAATTTCAAATTAAAGGACAAACCAGAGATTTAGGAACTCTAGTCACTATTTCTCAATTGCAAAGCTGGCAAAATGAAAGAAATGGGAGACAGGGAGGTATATTTACCACTACCACCCCAGATGGTGCATATACAACCACACCTGAACTTTCTTACACTACTTAACTTTGCAAAGATGTTTGAGAATCCTGAGAACAAATAATGTAAGAGTTCAGAATGCATTCTACTCAACTGTTTTTGCATTGCAACATCCTCCGCATCTTATTTTCTACCAAGCAAACTTCCCATACATGGAATTTCCTGTGACAATGGGAAAAGTAAATGAGGAATGAAAATGGGAAAGAGCATATATAAGAAAAGCAGAATACTATAAATTATCCACTACTCCCATCCCTGGGCAAAGATGCCCAGAATCATGCTTGCTATGGTAAAATCAATCAGCCGTGCATCACATTACAAAAGTGATGAAATGGAACATATCTTTAAAGTTACACCCTACCATATAGACAAGTAATAATTTTCAATTGTTACTGAAATTGAATGAGTTGAATATTAACTGAATTTCAGTTAATTTTAACTGCATATTGGCTAAATGTTCTGCAGTGAGAATAACTTTAGTCCATGTCAACAACTGCCGCTGTAAAATATCAGCCATCTTTTAACAACTAAAGAGGGAAGGAAATTGTTCCATGATTTTTCTACAATTGTTAAACATAATTGATTAAAGTACAACTGAAACCAGAGACTGTTTATTTAAAACTAATTGACAGGAAACTTAGTTTTTATATATGTCATTGACTGAGATAGGCAGCCATAGAAATTGAACAAGTAAATAAATAATGACAACTGCAGCAATATTATTATATTCGCAAAAATGGAAGGGTTTGACACTATCCACAATGGAGGAATGGCTGATGAAGATGACGGAACTTGCAGAGGTGGTTATATTAATTTCTTTGATCCAAAAAAGATACTATCTACATTTATGGCTGATTGGAAACCCCTTATATATTTTTTTTCATAAGAAAAAAAAAATGCACTTGTGGTTTTGATTAAAAAAAATGGATAGTAGAAAAAAGTGAGCTTTTTGTAATTATACAGTAAAAGATAATTTTGTAATCATACTTATATTTTTTGCAGAGCAAATCGGAAGCTTCTATTTTTAAAAAATGTTTCTCATTGCACTTTTGTGTTTTCTTTTTTTCCTTCCCCCTTTCTTCTATTTTGTATTGGTTTGTGATAGATTTTTTACACCTTAGAACTTTTAATGAAAATGTATTAAAAATAAAAATATTAAACATAATTTATATTGATATAAATAAAATTTATAATTTTTGACAGACCCCATCCAAGGCAAAAAAAAAAGCATTAGTGTATGCCACATTAACAGAAATAGAAAAAAAATTTTTAAAAAAAATCTCCAGGCATTATTTTAAAAACCTTTTGGGGTTAAAAAGGACAGGACTTATCTATCTAAAAATTGAAATGTAGCAAATTTACACCAAATACAGACAATAGTAAAAGCTAATGAAGTGTGTAGGGAATAGATTAGTTTAATAAAAAAATCTTCAACTTTGATATCCAATCTTTTTTCAATCTTTTCACTGTTGGATTAATTTTTTAAATTTCTCAGAAACCAGTTCTGCAAATATTCAAAAGGGCTTCATAACTCTCAAGTTTTTGAAAATGATTACTTTAAAGCCAAATTGCTTTCTATATAAATTTATTTACAGATACTGACAGTTCACTTTAAATTTATGTAAAAAATTGACTTCATTGTCAAGAGACTGATGATCTCAATCCATAAGTTCCAAGGATTCAATGAAACTGAAATGAAAGGCTGCTATATTAAAGGACTATCACAAAAGCCTCTGCCGGTAAATCATGTAAATTATTAGTTAAGATGATGTATGCTCAGGAAACAACAGCAAAATCTGTGTTATTGACCATAACAGGATACTACCAGACTTCTGTAATCAGTAGCAGATAATTCTGAGTCATGGGTAACTTCAATGATTTATTTTATAAAAAATGTTGACTGAATTCACATGTTATGAACATTATGCTATAGTTTACTACTGCAAATTACAGCATCTTTTAAGCCACAAACGAGTTGTCAAATTAGTCTGTGGGGGCCATTAAACCAAACTGACTTTTTTTATTCATTCAATGAGTCAGTGAATGAGTGAGTCAAGTCAGTGAATCAGCCAGTCATTCCCTCCTAAATTATGGCAGACTTGAGCTGTAGAATCCTTGCTATCCCTGAGCTTGTTTGTAATGTCAACAATGGTGAATGTGTGGTTTGCTCACTGTTTATGTATAATAGCTTGCCCTACCGATGTTGAGGGGTATGATTTACTCCATGATAATTCCTTAACTAAAGCATTGTTTTCTGCTTGATTGTTTGTCAGGTGTTAATCCTTGCTTATCTGGTGTTGGCTGCTGGAGAAGATGTGTTCTGGACTTTTTCTATGCGTCTAAGCTTTTTTACTGTCTTTTTTGAATGGTGTGTGGGAATGACTTTGGAGGAAAGATAGAAGAGAAACAATCATTCAAGACAGGCAGGAGCACCCCTTAGCTAATCATATGAGGCAGCAACTTAGAAGGGATACACTTTAATAGATCAAGCAATTAAAAGTAGTAATGGGGAATGTCGTACTTCAGACTTGCAAGATTCTTTAATATAGCGTTACAATAAAGTAGATTCAGCTCATCTAGTCACAGTTTGTTATTTGGCTTAGGTCTGACATCAATCTTGCAAGTCTCCTACTCTTTCCCAAAGAGGAATTTCAAGAATCACCACTGATACTCAAAGAACCCAGCTAACTGTTAAACACCTGACAAGGAAGAACAGAAGCCAATTTGAAGGGAAAGGACGGAGAGCCTGTACAGTTCGTGACTACAAAAATATGAACAAAGTAACAATTAGAGATCATTGTCTACTCCCACTTATCTCACATCTATTAGACCAGCTACAAAAACCACACATCTTTACAAAACTAGAACTGAGAAATGCTTATAAACTAATCAGAATGAAAGAAGGACATGAATATTTATAATAGCCTTTGATACAAGATAAGGAAAATCTGAACATACAGTAATGCCTTTCAGCCTGGTTAATTGTGGAATGATTTTTCTAGATTTATGAATGACATTTTGCAGACATTTTAGATAAATATGTCATCTTAGTTTGTTCCAAAAATTCCCTATTTGCATATACCTGTAAACTCATGTCAGAAATGTACTGCAAAAATTATGGGAAACTAAATTTGTGAAATTAGAAAAATGTTTATTTGATCTGACTCAACTGAATATCTACAGAAGATATACAGAAGGATCCAGCAAAGGTGCAGTCTGTTCTATCATGGGGCATATACATGCGCGTGCGCACACACACACACACACAATGTACAAAAGATGTGCTGTGCTTCCCAGACTTTATTTACTTCTGCAGAAAATCTCTAATTTTGCTGGACTTGTAAAACCACTATAGCAGCTTCTGAGAAAGGGTCAGCAGTTCTCATGGTCAACCCAAGAGCAAGCAGCATTTCAATCACTGTACCCCACTCCCAACAACAATACTGCAAGCAAGCAACTTTGAGTCCCATTGTAATGCAGATCAACCTTAAAAGTAGGGAGCAGGAAGGGAAAAGTGATCTCTTTGATCCAATTAAGCAAACAGCTGCAGTGTACATATGCCACCATAAAAGGTAAAATGGTATCTTGTTGGGCTTCGAGTTCAGGCATGAACTCAAGGAAGCCAAACAAGATACCATTTCACCTTTCACAGTGGAGGGAGGGTAGCTATTGCACAATGGACATTTATATGTACCTCGTTCTGGGATGGGGGGGTGGGGTGGGGGGTAAGAATAGTATAACTATGCCCAAAGCAGCAGGATATGAGAGAACGTTCAGAACCCAACAAAGAGCCCTCAGAGAATTTGGGTAGTTCTGCATCCACAGATAAATTAGAGATTATGTGTCCTCTTGTCAAGTTTGTCGGAGAGCAAACTCAATCACTGATAGAGCAACTGGATTGTTGCAATCAATGAATATGCTCTCCTCCAAAACCTTGAGACATTTTTTTCACTAAATTTCATCACCAATCTTCCTCCAGTGTGGGGTATACTACCAAACTGGTAGTAATGGATTTATTTACCAAATTGACTAATTTAATTCCTTGCAAGAGATTCCTAATGGCTCAAGAAATACCTCAAGTTCTTTCAGAAGGTATCTTTAGATATAGAGGATTAGTCAATCATGTGGTTAGTCAGAGGAAGTAAATTCACTTCCAAATTTTGGAAAGGCCCCTAGCAATTATTAAATATTGAAAGTCATGTCATCCATCCTTCATCTGATTTCCAACAGAGAAACTGAGGTTAAACAGCTATTGCAGTAGTATTTAAAATGCTGCATTTCTTATCAGCAAGACAACTGGACTGAACTCATATCTTGCTGAGTTTGCTTAGAACAATGCTGCAGACTCTCCTCTATTGGTATGTCTATATTTGAGACAAAGTATGGCATTCACTCACAGGTCTTACCAACAAACATACAAGAAAGTGCCCTACTTCATGCCACATATTTCCTGCAGCAAAAACTTCTTAAAAAAAACAACGCAAATTATAATCTCATACAAAAAGCAGCAAATGCACAAGAAGGAGCTAGTATTTAAGGAGATGTAACACAGCTTACTACAAAATTATTAAATTCCATGAGACTTTCCAAGAAATAGGGCTCAAAAGAGTTATTGGTCCTTCCCCTGTAAACTAATCAAATCAAACCAGTTCATTTCGCTTGCAGTTGCCATCATCAATGAAAGTTTTCCCTTAACTCCATCATCATTGTTGTTTTTGAAAGAGTCTCTCCACTGAACTCTACAATCAGAGACAACACTTCTGTCTCCCATTTTAATAGATGGGGAGAATATGAGGAGTAGTAGTAGTAGTATTAGACTCTGGATGCAGAGGAAGCAGGCTGAGTATTAATTCATTAGAAAGACTACCCAGACTCAGAAAGAACATGGCAGGTAGCAATAAAACACCAACATTGATATATTGTTTTCACAATCAATACACCAATAAATCCCACCCTAAGAATCTTCTGGCCTTGCAGGAGCCAAGCACTGACCATGATGAGCTGGAGGAAGCTGCGAGTGTATCTAAGACTAAGCAGAGGGAAATAATTCAGTTCCTTCCTTGTCAGGCATACAAGAAATGGAAGGGGGATGTTTCCACCAGATTCCCAAGGGAAGGGTGACTACTACCTTAACTGGAGTTGATTTATGGGGCGTTTTGTGT